GGCATAATTGACACATAACCTTGTAATAGTTTCAGGTGTACAACATGTTTCAATATATGTATATATAGTGAAATGATCACCGTGATAAATTTTTAAAATTTATTTTTACTTATTTATTTTTATTGGCATGTAATTGCTTTACAATGTTGTGTTAGTTTCTGTTGTACAATGAAGTGAATCAGCTATATGTATACCTATATCCCCTCCCTCCTGGACCTCCCTCCACCCGCCCCATCCCACCTATCTAGGTCATCACAGAGCACCGAGCTGAGCTCCCTTCATCATGATAAATTTGGTTAACAGACATCACCACATATGTTTCAATTTTCTTTCTAATTTCTTTATCCCCTACTCCCAATTATCCCTCTCCCCCCATTTTTTTCTTGTGATGAGAACTTTTAAGATTTATACTCTCAGCAAATTTCAAGTATGCAGTATACAAATACACAATCCAGTGTTGTTAAGTACAGTTGCCATGCTGCCCATTACATCCCTAGAACTTATTTATAACTGGAAGTTTGTGCCTTATGACTACCTTCACCCATTTCACCCACCCCCATTCCCCACCTCTGCCAGCCACTACCCTGCTCTCTGTTTTTATTTTATTTTGTTATTTATTTATTTGTTTTGGCTCCGCCACGTGACTTGCAAGATCTTAGTTCCCTGACGAGGGATCGACTGTGCCCCGTGCAGTGGAAGCACTGAGTTCTAAACACTGGACCGCCAGGGAAGAACCTGTTTTTGTTTTTTTTTAGATTCTACATATAAATGAGATCATACAGTATTTGTCTTTCTCTGTCCGACTTATTTTACTTAGCATAATGCCTTCACGTTCCATCCATTTTATTGTAAATGGCAGGGTTTCCTTATTTTTTATGGGTGAATAATATTCGGGTGTGTGTGTATCTCGTATCTTCTTTTTCCATTCATCTGTCGATGGATATTTAGGTTGCTTCCACATCTTGGCTATTGTAAATAGTGCTGCAGTGAACATTGGGGTTCAGATACCTTTTCAAGATAGTGATTTCGTTTCCTTTGGATAAATACCCAGAAGTGGAATTGCCGGATCATATGATAGTTCTATTTTTAACTTTTTTAGGAACCTCCACACTGTTTTCCACAGTGGCTGCACCAGTTCACATTCCCACCAACCACGCACAGGGGTCTCCCCTTTTCTCCACATCCTCACCAACACTTTTTATTTGTTGTCTTTTTTTTTTTTTTTTTTGCGGTACGCGGGCCTCTCACTGTTGTGGCCTCTCCCGTTGCGGAGCACAGGTTCCGGACGTGGAGGCTCAGCGGCCATGGCTCATGGGCCCAGCTGCTCCGCGGCATGTGGGATCTTCCCAGACCGGGGCACGAACCCGTGTCCCCTGCATCGGCAGGCGGACTCTCAACCACTGCGCCACCAGGGAAGCCCTTATTTGTTGTCTTTTTGATGACAGCCTTTCTGACGGCTATGAGGTGATATCTCACTGTGTTTTTTATTTATTTATTTATTTTTGGCTGCACTGGGTCTTCCTTGCTGTGTGCAGGCTTTCTCTAGCTGCGTCGAGCAGGGGCTATTCTTCGTTGTGGTGCGTGGGCTTCCCATTGCGGTGGCTTCTCTTGCTGTGGAGCATGGGCCCTAGGCACGCGGTCTTCAGTAGTTGTGGCATGTGGGCTTAGTTGCTCCGTGGCATGTGGGATCTTCCCGGACCAGGGATCGAACCCGTGTCCCCTGCATTGGCAGGTGGATTCTTAACCACTGTGCCACCAGGGAAGCCCCTCACCAGCACTTTTTATGTTTTCTTTTTGATGACAGCCTTTCTGACAGGTGTGAGGTGATAGCTCATTGTGGTTTTGACTTGCATTTCCCTGATGGCTAGTGATGTTGAGCACATTTTCACGTACCCACTGGACAAGAATTTCACTCCCCTCTGACCTTCGTTTTTTTTTAAGCCATTCATTTACAGAAACCTGCTGAGTGCTCACCCTGACCTGGGCACAAGCTCCGGAGTCCCATCGACTTTGCAGCTTACACTCCAGCTTAAATTGTTTGACAATTATATTTCTTGTTGTAAATGAGTAATTATGGCCTTCTAGCTCATTTAAAAAGTCGTTGTTGGGAATTCCCTGGTGGCCCAGTGGTTAGGACTCGGTGTTTTCACTGCTGGGGCCTGGGTTCAATCCCTGGTTGGGGAACTAAGATCCTGCAAGCCGTGGGGTGCGGCCAAAAATAAATAAATAATAAAAAATAAAATTAAATAGTCATTGTTACTTTGGTGAGTCTCTGTAAGAAACTGGCCCGCTCTGGCCTGTGGGCCTGGAACCCCCACTTGGGGCTGTGGAAGTAGTATCATGTGCTAGCTCCCCTAAAAGCACTGTTGTTGTAACCATGGTGGGAACCAGAGCAGGTTTTTTGTTTTTGTTTTTGTTTTTTGCGGTATGCGGGCCTCTCACTGTTGTGGCCTCTCCCGTTGCGGAGCACAGGCTCCAGACATGGAGGCTCAGCAGCCATGGCTCACGGGCCCAGCTGCTCCGCGGCATGTGGGATCTTCCCGGACCGGGGCACGAACCCGCGTCCCCTGCATCGGCAGGCAGACTCTCAAACACTGCGCCACCAGGGAAGCCCCAGAGCAGGTTTTTAAGTGGTGGGTTGGCATGATTAGCACCAGCCTGTCTCCAAGAACTAAAACTTCAAAGTAAAATGTTAAAACAAAGTCCATCAAACCCTAGCAGAACTTGATTTTGACTTAATTTCTAAATGGCCTGGAGGTGCCCCTGGTTTGAGGTTTGTCTCTGGCCTTTGTGGATCCAAAGCCCTAAAAGCCGCCTCTGTGGGGGAAGCAGTGTTGTGCACGTTCATGCGACTTGCTTCACTCCTGGCTCTTGGCCTACTTTCAAGTCGGGTTCTGCCTAGACTTCAGGAGAATTCTTCTGGGAGAATCCAAGGCACTAAAGTGCAAAGATCTGTGTCAGTCATCCTCTGCTCCAAGCTCCAGGGCCAGCGCCCACACTTCAGCCTGGTGATCCAATCAAGGAGCCAGACCCTCTCCCGAGGCCTCAGGCCAGAGCTCTGGCTTCTCACTTGCCTTCTTCGGCTCTGCTGGCAGCCCCAGGCAGGAGGCCTGCTCTTGAACTCCAGCCACGAAAGCACCTGGTGACTCCAGGGCTGGAAACCCCACTATTTAAAAAAGTCTATAAAAGGTGTTAATTACTAGGGTCCTTCTGAGTCCCCATCTCAGCTGGGCCTTCGACAGCCTTTCCCTGATGATCCACCTCTACCGTCCTCTTTCTCTGTTCCCACCAAGGAGATAAAGGCTGTCAGATGTCAGGTTCCTGCCACCCCCCTCCACATTAATATGTTGAAGCCCTAAACCCCCAGAACCTCAGAACGTGACATTTGGAGACAGGGTCTTTACAGAGGTAATTAACTTAAAGTGAGGTCATTAGGGATGGACACAGGGAAGATGACGTGAAGATACTGTTTGGCCTGTGAGCCTAAAACATCCACTCTCTGGACCTTGAGGGTGTGCCAAGCCCTGAGCTGGACAGCGTTGCAGAGGCACCGGGAGGCAGGACAGATGGATTGACAGGCTTTCCAGAAGCACGAGACGTGGCAGCCAGAACCAAACACCTGAGGACTCAACAAGGAGGGTTCCCCCCCTGACACCAGCTCTTTGAAAAGGACCTCACAGGAGGCAAAGTTTGATTAAAAAACAACTTCACATTTTATTTTAAGGAATATGGTCATTTGTTGAGTTGAAGGCATGAAGTACAAGAGCTGCTCTGACACACTCTGAGCAGAAGCTCCTCCTCCCATGTGCACTTTTAATGACTCGCTCATCGTTTTGTACACATTTCACCCATCAGAGCTGAAGACGCTTAACAACATTGGTAACTTTAAAAATTCTGCAGAAAAGGCCTATGTAGGCAAAGTATAAGATTTTTACTAAATTGCTGTGGTGTACACTTAAAATCACATATTCACAAAAAGAAGTTAAAGAAAGAGAAATTAAAATGCACTTATGTGGGCTTCCCTGGTGGCGCCGTGGTTGAGAGTCCGCCTGCCGATGCAGGGGACGCAGTTTCGTGCCCCGGTCCGGGAGGATCCCACGTGCCACGGAGCTTCTGGGCCCGTGAGCCATGGCCGCTGAGCCTGCGAATCCGGAGCCTGCGCTCCGCAACGGGAGAGGCCACAACAGTGACAGGCCCGCGTACCACAAAAAAAAAAAAAAAAAGCACTTATGTACTTCCATTCTTGCCACCTGAGGTAAATTCAGGTCTCCTTTCCTATATAACACAAAAAAGACGTCCACGAGGCAACCTGCCACTGTTAACTACAAATCACTACGTTAAAAAGTTCCTCCGAAGGAAAACGCGCTTATTGTTAAGTTAGGAGCACACTTAACATGTAACCAACCTTGAGTTAGAAAAGCCACTTTTTGGAAGGCACAGTTGGTTTCCAGGTTGACCATGGAATTCCAGATCTGTCTTCTGGACCCCATGTGGCAAGAAGGACAACCCTGGCCGGGTACCCCCATTTCTCCCTGACACGTGCGTCCAGAGGGCAGAGTTTTCCTCTGCTCACAGTTACCACACGCAGGTCCTGGAGGCTCCTCTGGTCCTGCTTTGTTCTCTGAAAGTGTGAGCGGCTCTGCTGTGTGAAGCAGCAGCCACTGGCCCTCAGTGGGTGTGGGAGCAGGTGGGGACCCGGCAGAGATGCTGCCCAGCACGAGGATGAGACAGGCCCTTGGCCCAGGCTTTAGAATGAAGGATCTGAACAAGAACAGAACCAAATATACGGGGAGACATGTGTGAGGGAAACGTTTCTAGAAGAGTGAGGGCAACTCTCCCTCCACAGCTTGGGGTAAAAAAGGGGGTGGTGGTGATGGGCTTCATCAATCCAACAAAAGACACAAAATAAGGTGCTACTTTGCTTCAAATTGGTTAAATCACTAACCCCATTATGTGAGAGGAGGGCTGCAGACAGTGTTTGCAAGTGGCCTTTGTCTGTATTTATTTGAACGGAGAAGCTCAAGTCTAGGCGTGCTGACTAATCTCCACGTGTCTATGCCTGAGGGCAAGGAGCAGGAACAGTTATCATGACACCCACTGAGGAAGGCGTCAGGGAGGAAAACCCTGGAACATGCTGGGTGGACGGGCACCCCCAGGCTGCCCTGCATCCTGGTGTCACGCTTTGGAGCAGCCTTTTTGCTGGAAGCCCTGTGAACTCGTTCAGTGTGGGCCGGGTGGACATGTAAAATTCTTCCTTTTTCCAGTTACCAGGAGAACAACCATGATGGGCTTGTGATAAGCAGATGTGGGTCTGATTACCTTCCACAGCATCCAAACGCCCTGTGACATTCCCAGTGATGTGGGTCAGACTCGCAGGGCGGCTGGAACATGACAGAAAGATGTATCTGCCCACAGAGGCTGTCAGTGTTTTTAGGAAAGTCAGGCATTATGGAATGGAACTTTTATATTTGAATTGCTACATAAACGCTGTTGCATTGCTGCTGCCCCTTAAAGACGTTCCTTTGCTTTAAGGGACTTTGTTTATATTCTACTGAACCAAAGTGGTGAAGGTCACCGTGCCGGGGCCAGGTTTCAGGGTGAAAGGCACTGTGATTTTAAGGTTTCCAACCTAATCTGTCTTATTAAAATCAGTCCCTTTCACCATCTTCAAAATATTTTAATTTATTTGCTTTTAAAAAGACCAGGACCTCGTGGCTTCAATTATTTTGTTGGAGGTACCAACATCAAGAAATTCCTTTAAGTACAGAAATCAATTTTAATTAGTACTTTTAAATGATTCTCTTTTTTTTGTAAAATGAAGAGAGAACAAGCTAGGCCAGGTAGAATGATAACATCTGGGCTTTTTTTAAAGCCATATCCTTCTGTGCACAGTCAGTGTCATTAGTGGAGCTCCAGTCCTAAAACTGGGGCCAGAGAATCAAGTGATGGGTCAAGGCATGTTGCCAGCAGCACAGAAGAGTGGGTGGGAATCCTGGATGGGCCAGGGGACCCCAGGCACCGAGTAAACATGTTTGGATGGGGGGCCTGGTCCAGATGACCTGAGGGCAGGGAGCTTGGTGGAGCACGTCCGTGTGATGCTCCTCTCTCACGCTCTGCAGGCCTCAGACAGCGGGCCAGGGAGCCTCCAGCCAGGGCAGAATGTGTTCCTGACCCTGTGCAGGGGCAGCGGGGCTCACCTAGCTCCCTATGTGCTTCCAGGCGTCACAGTGAGCAGGGCTGGTCTGAACCCCCTCCTACTAAAATCAAACGCCTGCCAAGGGGCTCAGAGCATCACAATGTGCTCGTGGGGGTCGGGGGGAGAAGGATGCCCACAAACACGGGTCACATGGCCCTCAGCGCTCTACCTTGCGGAGGCCTGGGGACGAGAAGCACAACAGACGGAAGCAGAGGCCGGCATGACCACCACTCTGCCCGCACACCTCTAGTCAGGGCCCTCAGAGAAGTGGGGCACATGCTTTCTCTACAACAAAACCTCTTTTGAGACCCACTCTATTACAACATTTGCAAACACATGTGAAATCACATTCTAAAGTAATAACTGAAATTTCTTGGGCGTTTAAAAGAAGACCTTTCAAATCTTTTCATCACGATGGAGTGGAAATCCGCCTCCGTCTTCAAAGCTGCCGAACTTTCCTCTCTGTACTCTTGATGTTGACGTCTAACTTGTCCACTTTGGTTGTGAGGCGGTCAAGAATGTCGTCCTGCTCCTCAATCTCTGTCTGCATCCCCAGGGCGATGTCCTTCAGCCGGCCCAGGCCCACGGACAGCTCATCTGCGGGACAGGAGAGCACACACGGGCCTGAGCCAAGTCACAGCATCGGGACCTGCAACCCCAGATGCTCCCCCCATGGGCTCGGCAGCACTGCAGTCACTGACCCCTCCTTCCTGGAAGACAGGCCAGATGCCAGGGCGTTGGTTACATGCTCCAAAACATGTGCAAGTGAAGAGAAAGCAGTAGCGCTTAACAGGAAAGCCACTCCTCCCTGCCACCCACCAGGACACCCACTATTAGTACACGGTGTTTATTTTAGAAATTCATATAGAGCCACACACCTTTCAGCTGCCTTTGAACCTTACATCTCCAGCTCCCTAAAGCTGGGTCAAGCACAGGTCCAGAGTGGCAAAGAGGAAGACCCCCATTTGGAAACACATCTGAGATACAGCTCAGGCTTTTCCAGTCTTTATAATAAGTATTTCCCTTCTTTTAAAAAAGTTGTAAAAATCAATCTCAATTCATTTTTAAGAGAAATAAATTCTATAAGAACACGGTCAGCCTCGAGTATGTGAAGGGCTTCCTTAGCACAGTGACAAAGAAAGAACTGACCATGAGTGGGGAGGAGACCAGCCAAGGGGCCCGGGGTCCCCTGATGGGGCTGTGCAGACCGCAGAGGGGAGTCGTGACGTGACTGACTCTGTCCAGATGAATATAAAGCCCCTTCCCTGTGTGTGTGTGTGTGCATGTGTGTGCCCTGAATGTGTGTGTGCATGTGCACAGGGTATGGGGACGGGGTCACATCCAGAGCTGCTTTCTGCCCTTTTACTAGGAAAGAGCTGGGGGAAAACAGAAGAGGTGGTGCTTTGTAAGCCTTTTCACTAAGTTAAAGATAAAACATTAAGTGAAAAAGGTCAAAATACACAAATAGCTGGCAATGGCACCATAAATCTAAGCAGAATCAGATTTTTTAGAAATGGTCTTCCTGGGACTTCCCTAGTGGCGCAGTGGTTAAGAATCCATCTGCCAGGGCTTCCCTGGTGGTGCAGTGGTTGAGTGTCTGCCTGCCGATGCAGGGGACGTGGGTTTGTGCCCCAGTCCGGGAAGATCCCACATGCCGCGGAGCGGCTGGGCCCGTGAGCCATGGCCGCTGAGCCTGCGTGTCCGGAGCCTGTGCTCCGCAACGGGAGAGGCCACAACAGTGAGAGGCCTGCGTACCGCAAAAAAAAAAAAAAAAAAAAAGAATCCATCTGCCAATGCAGGGGACACGGGTTCGATTCCTGGTCCAGGAAGATCCCACGTGCCACAGAGCAACTAAGCCCATGTGCCACAACTACTGAGCCCGCGTGCCACAACTACTGAAGCCTGCATGCCTAGAGCCCGTGCTCTGCAACAAGAGAAGCCACCGCAATGAGAAGCCTGTGCACTGCAACAAAGAGTAGGCCCCGGGGCTTCCCTGGTGGCGCAGTGGTTGGGAGTCCGCCTGCCGATGCAGGGGATGCGGGTTTGCGCCCCAGTCTGGGAGGATCCCGTGTGCCGCGGAGCGGCTGGGCCCGTGGGCCATGGCCGCTGGGCCTGCGCGTCTGGAGCCTGTGCTCCGCAGCGGGAGGGGCCACAGCGGTGAGAGGCCCGTGTACCGCAAAAAAAAAAAAAAAAGTAGCCCCCGCTCTCTGCAACTAGAAAAAGCCGGCATGCAGCAACAAAGACCCAACGCAACAAAAACAACGAAAAGAAAAGAAAAGAAAAGGAAGCCTGTGCCCCTGTGTCCCATGGACACTGACAGCTGTAAGGCCACCCAGGTCTCATGGAGCTGCCGGCAGCTGGGACGGCTTGGGACCCACAAGGAGCTGCACTGCGGTGAGAAGCTGGATCAGGGAGGGCCGCCTGGCAAGGGACCGCCAGCAGGGCCGGGCGTCCAGGAGGCAGAGGGACCTGCCCGGGGCAGTGGTGTGGCCCCATCAGCAGGGCCCATGGACGGCTGTGCTGGGGTCCCCTGCGCTGCTCTGTGTCCCGCTCACCCTGCCGTCCCAATGCACACCCTCAGCCTCTGGGGTAGGCTGTCCTTGGTCTTCTTCCTGCTGCACTCCCTGCATTCCTGAATCTCGCCCCCTGCAATAGGTCTTCCCCCCAGCAGGCACCAGTGCCAGCCCTTCTTGGTGGGGAAACCTTTGGTGGGGAGGATGGGGGGCCCGCCAGTCCCTGTGTTTCTCTGGAGTCAGGCCTGGCAGATACACCCTCTGCCTGATGCCTTCGGCTCCAGGGCCGAGTCCAGAGGACAAGCAAGCAGTGACCTCCGGGGTGCCCCTGGGCTCCGAGGGCAGACAGCAGTTGAGGTTCAGGGTGGAGAAACAGAAGGAATGACACCAAAGCAGTTGTCACTGCTGGACGGTGGAATTTGGGTGTTGGTTTCCTTAGGGCACTTGCCTAACTTCACAGTTTTCTACAATGAGTCTATGTGCTGAGAAACAAAGGTTAAATGAAGGTTAAATAAAGGATGTGGGTCTGCCTCACGTGTTGTCTGTACCAGTAGCCCGGGCTGCTGGAGTGGGCACTGCCCTGGGAGAGCTGGGGGCCCGTGTCCCCTGGGAGGAGAGAGCAGGGGAAGCATTCCTTTCTGTCTCACCCTCTTTGCCATCCCCTAAGGGGAAGGAGGGTTGGCAAGCAACCTGGGTGGCCATGGGGGAGGTTCACACGCAGGAAGCAAAGGTCAGAGGGGGCTGCTGAGGGGCCAACTCCTCCACCCGACTGCAAATAACCCCCTCCTCTCTCCATTTTCGCCTTCTGGGCCCTGGGTGTAAAGTAGGGACAAAACTGAACTTCTCCTGTGTTTCTGGAGACTGGTTAGGGAGACACCAGAGAAGCCAGCAGGTATGTGGTTACAACAGGGTGCCCTGGAGCCCGAGGCCCAGGAAGCAGGGTGCCTGGCCACGCGGCCAAGGTGCTGCTGGCCCCATGTATGCCTGACCTGCTGGGCCGCCTCCCGCTAGCCTTCCAGTTTTGCTCACCTGACCCTGCCCGAGCCCAGGGCACACGGAGGAAGCAGGGTGGCATGGCCGGGTGGTGAGGGGGGTGGGAAGAGCCCAGGCTGCACAGCGTAGTCCCCAGACCCTGACCCTGTCGCTGTCACCTCCCAGACAAGAGGTGGGGACGGAGACAAGCGGGCAGACCCCAGAGAGGGCGAGGGGCTGGGATGTTGCACACGCGCACGTGTGCGTGTGTGTGCAGGGGTGGACAACGGGGGGCCCCGGTGCACGCAAGCCGTGGTGCTGGTGGCGGTGCTCTGGTCTTACCGAGGTTGCTGTCAATCCTCTGGTGACAGGTGCGCAGGTGCAGGTTCCTTGGGTAAGCCTCGGAGCTCACGGCAGAATCGGCCCCTCCAGGGATGGAGTCTGAGTTGACAAAGAAACACCAGGAGGACGGTTAACTGACACACTTGAAATGCCGCTTCACAAAACTCATCTTAATCTGGAAAACGGGTGGAAGGACTAAGGCGGTTGGTTCTGAGGCCACTGAGAGAGGTAGGCGGGACAGGGAAGGGGCGGGAGGGAGATGCTTCCTGAGGGCAGCCCCTCGGAGATCAAAGAACCCCAGCCTATGGGTCACCTGGTCAGCCACGGACCCTCGAGCTCAGGAAAGAGATTCATGCACGTAATGGTATGGAAGTTGGAGCAGCCACCACGCAAACCCACACAGGCTCCGGAAAAAGAAACGTTAAATGATGCACATTTGCCCCCAGAAATCTTCTCTGAACCTCAGTTTCCAAATGCACACAGAAAAGCCCTGTCACCCAGGGTATGTCTTCTGGGGACCATCTCTTTCTAGACTTGGGGTCTCTCCTTCAGCATGGCCTACGGAAGCCCCTCAGCGCACAGTCTTCTCCCACTTCCTCTGCAGCTTTTGCCTTCCCAGATGAACCTCCGGGCCCTCCTCCGCCAGGCCTCCCCTCGGCTGTGCCCGCAGGCGGCACAGGAAGCATCTGGTTACTTCCAATGTGCCTGGCTCTCTAGGGGTCGACAGAGCCCCCGGGAGGCCTTGATTCCTTTCCAGATGAGGGATGTTTCTGGGCCCATCATTTGATATTAATGGGACGATCTGACACAAAACACCTCCTATCTCACACTCCTTGTCCACACGGCCGCTTCTGCGCCCACTGGGGCTCAGGGGCTACATTAGCCTCCTTCTGTCACTGCAACAAAATACCACAAACCATCCTTTGGTTCTGGAAGTCAGACGTCCAACCTGGGTCTCCCCGTCCTCAGACCCAGGTGTCAGTGGGGTTGGTTCCCCTGGAGGCACTTAGGGAGAATCCGATTCCCGGCCCCTTCCAGCCCCTGGAGGTCAATCCTTAGCAGCGGCCCCTCCTCCACCTGAGAGCCAGCTGCCCGGCACCTTCAAACCTCTCACTCCATCACTCTCTCCTCTGCCTCCTTCCCACTTGCAAAGGACCTTTGCGATTTCACTGGGTCCAACCGGAAAACCCAGGATAATCTCCCCAACTCAAGTCAGCCGATCAACAACTGTACTTCCCTCTGCGACCACGATTCCCCTTTTGCCATGTGACCTGACATATTCCTGGGGCCTGGGGATTAAGGCGTGGATGTCCGGGGGGTCATATCCTACTCAGCATAGGTGTTTCCCTGCCTGAAGATCTCAGAGCTATACAGGCCAGGCTCCCACTCCCTTATCCCTCCCTCCATGGGGGAGCAGGGCTGAACCTGCCATAACGCACACCCCCTGCTCCCTGAGAGAGGCACTGAGGCCCCCGACGCCCCTACCCAGTGCAAAGTGTCCCCGCAGAACCCGTGTGTGGGCGGAAGCACTGACCTGAGTCATTGAGCTTCCTGAGGTTTGGGTGGCTGGTCTGGTACTGTGCCTCCTGGTCTTTACTTGTACTTATGGCTTCTTTCAATCTTTGGATAAAAGTTACGAGAAGAAGAAAACTTTTAGAAAGGAAAAGCACCTGTGACAGTGCAGTCTTTTCTAACAGTGCCCATGTGAGAAAATCAAATGCCTCTTCTGACCAAGATACAAAGCCAAATGAATATTCTAACTGCAATTATGAAAACACTGAATAAGGGGAGCAACCTACATTCTTTGTGTTACGGTAGGTAAGGTGTAGATTTTCTGTAATGTGGTGATATTGTCTTTATGATAAAAGACAGATACAATGATCTGACATATGAGCAACAATCATGTTTTAGCAGAAACAATTATTTTACGTTTGAACACATGGCATTTATATGCCAGCCAAAATTGCAGTATGATTTTATTATACCTCTAGCCAAAAATTTTGAGGAAAATAATCTCTGATTTTAAAATGATAATCAATGGGCAACTTGAATTAGATATGGGGAAGCTGGACATGAAAACTTTTTAAAGCAAAAATTCTGTGAAGTGAGTCACATTTATACTGATTAGAGTGAACATTCTCTTTCAAATTACCAGGAGCAGTAATTTATGGAGACCCAATTCACGCACAGTTTGCAGACTGAACAGCGTTCACATCACACAATCAAGAGCAGTGGAGAACGCTTCTTGTTTCAAAATGTCTGAAGACAAATCCCTCCCAGTGAGTAACTTTCAGGGTCCTTTGGTCCCTTTAAGGCATGAGAAGTGTCCTGAAAGGCTCGGCCACCCGCACTAAACCCCCCTCTGCTGCTTTGCTCCGGCCAGACGGGCACCGCTCACCTGCTGCTGGGCTGGGGGGCAAGGGTGCCATTCTGCGCAGGTGGGGTCTCTGAGGGTTTGGTTCTGAAGTAATTGACGAGCCCTCCGAACACACTCTTGATGCTGTTGATGTGCTTCTGGCTGGTCTTCAGATCCTGCTCCATCTTGTCCACCATCTTCTCTGTGCGCTCCAAGGCCCCTCGCTGGCGCACGAGTTCCTAGGGAGGATGAGACGTGATGGCATTGCACCTTCTGTAGCTCCCCGTCACCCGCAGAGGAAGGCTCTCTGTAAATCCTCAGCCAGCACTTGGGGATGGCGCAGCCCCCACCCTAACCTGAGTCCCGCCCGAGCTCTGGAGGGGAAGGTGCCAGCATTAAGTGTCTCGTCCTGATTGCGATTAAACTCTGGTTTTGAACAACCAGCAGGCAGAGGTTGATCTGGAGTCGATACGCTGAATCTAGAAACTTGAGAGTTACCCCCATCAATGTCGCTCCCCTTCCCAGGGAGCATGACACACATACGCACCAGCAGGAACGCAGGAGCTGGCGGGGAACATGCTTGAATGCGGGGCTCCGTCCCGGCAGGAGTGACAGTGTAGAGTGGTCTTAGGTGGCAAGAGAACCACCAAGGGCAAAGGTTGGTGCCCCTCGCTGCATGTGCAGGCTGCCCAGGCCGCTCATACCGTGTGTTCCCGAGAAAGGCCTTGTCTGGCTCCTTGCCCTCGTATTAGCCTGAAGAGTGACTTTGCTTCCCAGAGTCCTCAGGTCAGCCTGACAGTCTGCACCAGCAATGTGGTTTACAGGGTGGGGGGCCTTGAGCCACACAGTGTGACCTCTGGAGGGGCTGGAGACTCTAGTCAGCCAGGCGGGCAGCCGTGCCTCCTGGATGTCCCACGTCACAGTGGGGGGAGTGCAGGCTGCACACACAACTCCACAGAGAGGGGACAAAGGGAAGCTGTGCTTGCTCTCCTGGACTCTGCCCACCAGCTTGTCTCCCTTGAGGATTTTAATCTGCATCCTTTTGCTGTAACAAACCACAACCGTGAGTATAACAGCTCTACTAATTCTGAGTTCTTCTAGGGAATCGTTAAACCTGAGGGTGCTCTTGGGGACCCCCACAACACCTCTAAACAGCACTTCTCACTCTCAGAGGCAGAAGGCTGCAGAGCAGACAGCCCCTGGGCTTCCCCAGCACAACTCCTGGTCAGCAAAGCAAGGTCTCCCAGACACCATGGAGGCCACGGGTGAACATTTTAGGAAGGAGCAGCAGACACAGCCAGATGCCACGGCGCTGGTGTGGGATGTATGACCTGCCTGGACGGTAAAGACCCGGCCTCACAAGGTGCCTCACAGCTAAGAAGCCAGCAAGTTTGATCCTAGAACTTTTTAACAGTCGAATTCAATCACTGATCCTTTATAAAATCTACTGGGAATTACTTAACCGAGCAGCTGATCGTCTCCCTCCATCAGCTTCTGCTTCAGGATAGGGTTGTGCTAAGAACTCTGGCTGCATCAGAACCAGCCCGGGCTGCATTGGAGGTGAGGCTCTGGTCAGTACAGCCCCTCACCTGGAGAGGGGACGGGTCTGCCCAGAGGATGAGGGCACCACCCCAACTCACAGGAACACCCAGAACAGAGGGCTGTGATGGCCTCCGTTCCCAGGCTGCACAGGTGTCCGTCCCCACGTGGCCCACCTCTCTGAACTGAAGGCCCAGCAGGGTTTGGCGACTGTCGAATGCTGGAAAGACTCAATGAGGTGAGGGGGCCCCACACGAGACCGTGTGCAGGATGTGCTGGCCGGGCTGCTGAGAGCATCCTGGCCCGACTCCTCTTCTGCTGATGCTAACCAAGCTGGCCACTCAGGCCCTCATCCAAGGTTTGTTGCTGGACTCCCTGAACTGAGACCCTGGGCTCCACAAAACATCACTGGCGCGTGCTCAGCAGCCAGAGGGGGCAGGCGGTCGGTCTCCTTGGCCAGGGTGGTGAAAGGGCACATGAAGACTGCGTCCACGTGGGACACAAACAGGCAAACCATTAGGGGACTGGTCGCAGAAAAAGAAGCCATCCACTAGAGGGACCACGACGCAGAAAGAGCATGGGACTTCCCTGGCAGTCCAATGGTTAGGACTCTGCGCTTCCACTGCTGGGCTGGGCTCAATCCCTGGTTGGGGAACTAGGATCCCACAAGCCACTCGGTGTGGCCAAAAAAAAAAAAAAAGAGCAGCGCATCACGTGTTGCTATGGAATGCCCTCCACCTTGTCAAGCAACGTGCAGTGTGGAATATACAAAACACTTCTTAAGTTAAAATTATAAAAAAAAAGAAAAAGATAAGTATAAGCATGTTTTTTTGCGGTACATGGGCCTCTCACCGTTGTGGCCCCTCCCGCTGCGGAGCACAGGCTCCGGATGCACAGGCTCAGCAGCCACGGCTCACGGGCCCAGACGCTCCACAGCATGTGGGATCTTCCCGGACCGGGGCACAAACCTGCATCCCCTGCATCGGCAGGCGGACTCTCAACCACTGCGCCAGAAGGGAAGCCCTAAGCATGTTTTTATACACAGAATATCTCCACAGGGACACTGCAGGAACAGAAGGTGAGTGGCAGGGGGTAGGGGGGCAGCGGGTGGGAGCAGCCTTCACGGCCTTCTGTATCATTTCAATTTTGAACCCTGTGACTAGATTATCACTTCACAAAAATTATACCTTAGGGAAAGAAAAGAAGAAACAAATCATGCCTGAGAAGTGGAAAAGCCATGTGGCCTACAAGTCTCTATGGTTCTGCACTGTGCTCCCCAGGCCGGCCCACCTCTCCTCTATCCTGTGGGGTCAGGACCTGAGGCGAGAGCCTTCCAGAGAGGTGAACCCTACAGGTTTCTCAGGAGAAGGGCAGCTCTCCTTCACTAGAGGTGACCTGACTAAGTAACTTTGCCGCTGCTGCCATGCTGGGCCTAAAAAAGTCAAGTCCTCAGTGTCTAAAACATGTGTCCTGTTTTGGCACCTCTCAGCTGGGTATGTGACGGGCACCTGTCTAAGTTAGGAGGTTAGTTTAGTGGTGATGTGGGTCTGCTGGGACAGAGGCCACCACCAACCCCCCACCCCCAATCCCCCAGGGGAATGAAAGAGCGATGAAAGGGATTCAAAGACAGTAAGACAACTTGGAGATTATGGGGTAGGGTGGAGACGGGGGTGCTGACCATTCCTGCCTCCCAGGGCCTCCAATAATTGAGAACTGATTCAATCCTGGAAAAATTCCATGTGTAATCGCACTGATGACAGAGCCTGTCACCTGCTCAGTCATGATCATACAGTACCTCTCACAGCAACACCTGGCTTGGCCATGCCAAGCCTCACGGCCTGAGGTGCCACTCTGCCTTTGCTCTCATGGTCCCCATTATAGGAAAGAAGGAACTTTGGGGGCAGCATGGGGTTTGTCACCACAATCCTTATGAAACAACGTTATCCTCTGTGTTTTTGGCACTCCTGACCTTCCCTCTGACTGTACTGGGTCCTAAGCTCCTCCTCCAGGCCCTTTCCTGGAAGGCTTCCTGGGCGACACTTTCCTGCTCAGGAGCTGTGGCGTTGGGCCAGTGCCTTTGCGTGACTCTTCTCTTCCTTGGGAAGTCCCTCCTCCTCCTCCTATCTACACCTTAGCCTTAGAAGCCAGAATCCAGGGTATCCTCTGCCACAGTATTCTACTTTCTGTCACTCTGATTTCCTACTTCACCCGTTCTCAGTTGCCAAAGATGTCTTTATTTTTGGCTGTGCTGCTTGGCATGTGGGATCTTAGTTCCCTGACCAGTGATCGAACCCGCGTCCCCTGCATTGGAAGTACAGTCTTAACTACTGGACCACCAGGAAAGTCCCCAAAGATGGCTTTTTAAACAGTTCTTAGTTGGCTTCCTTGGGCCTGGGACCCTTAATCAAGTGACTCCTCCACCTGGGCCCTAAGACCTAAGGCAATCCTCCCAAATTTAAGTCAACATTTTCCATTTAGACTGTAATGTAGGAATCCAGTAGACACAAGCAAAACTTCCTCAATGAGGCTAAAGACAGGCAGGTGGGCCACTGAGAGATCGGGTGATAAGGAGAAGTGGGGAAGGGAGATAACCCAAGGAGGTGGTAACGGGAGAATGATGGGATGGACCTCAAGACTGGCCAAGACTGTAAGTGACCAGGTCAGAGGGAACTTCCCCAGAGAAAAGAATTACGAAGAGACCCAGGGAAGAACATGATGCTTTAGCTTCCATAACTACAAATGCTTAAATTGAATTATTTTTAGCTGATATAGCAATCACAGGTTATTACATTTTTTAAAACTTTCTGAAGAAATGCCCAACACAACTGTCATTAGTACGCTGAGGCGAGAATGTGGTGCCTAAGAAAGAACAGCTCTTACCCAAGGTCCTACTCTCTGAAACCACCTATGGACGTTAAGAAGAACTGCAGAAGCTAAGCTGGGACGGCAAACAGTCACAGACCGCCCCCGTCTCTCTAGGACATCTTCGTCGGGATCAGGAAGGAAACGTAAGGCCCTAGACTCGACCAGACTCGGGCTCCGGCGCACTCAGCAGTGTCCAGGCAGACAAGACCTTCACTCCCCTCCTAGCGAGGCGGAGGAGCGCTCAGTGCCGGTAAGAACCCAAGGTCCATCTCCTCGGACGCTTGACACCAGCAGGCACAGTCCTCGCTGGGTCACTCCAGGAGGAAGGGCTGAAGCCACGGGCCAGGCTTCTGTCCAGGGAATGTGTAAAAGAAACAGACCCTCCACGTCCCTAACCCGGGGTCTGCTGTCTAGAATCCCTACTTACCTGGACCGAACAGCGTGGAAATGACCCCTGACGACGCGTAGAAAAACAACCACCCTGTGGACTAAGCTCAGGAGATCGCCAGGGGCAAACTGCCCCTTTCGGGTGTGAAAACGCGCGTCTTTACGTAGCTAACAGATTGTTACCGACCGTCCAGTCACCAAAGTACAAGACCCGTCCTGGCTGACCGGTCGAGCCCCCAGGAGCCCCGGCGACCGCGGACTCACCTCGGAGGAGGCGACCCCGATCCTCTCGGACTCGTACATCAGGGACAGGGACCTGCCGGTGCTGGCGGCCGTGGCCTCGGCCCGGCGCAACACCTCCTGCCGCAGGGCCTGCTGCCGGTCGGCGGGAGCGCCGGGCCAGTCCGCGAGGTCGCGGTTGTCCGTCCACGGCGCCGGCCGGACGCCCTCGTCCTCCGCGTCATCGTCGAACGGGTTGTAGCTTCGGGGATAGGCCGACATGGCGCCAGCGCTCGGCCTGGAGCAGGCGGGAGGAGCCGGGCGCGGCCGAGGCGAGGGGCGCTCTCTGACCACGGGGCAGCTGCAGTATCGCAGAGAACCTACAGAAGCTCCCGTACGCCCGTAGCCGGCGCCGCGCAAACTCCTTCCGCCAGAAGCTTCCGGAGGCCCTGCCTCGGAGCCGACCATCGTGCACCGCATCGGGGGGAGGGGGCCACGCCCGGCGCTCGCGACCGCCGCAGGCCGCACGGCTCCCGGCACCCCCCAGCGGTGGATCTGCCCGAGGCCACGCCCCGCTTGCGTCGGCAACAGAGAGGTCACGTGGCGGGGAGGCCGGATGGAGCCGCGCCTGCGCCGTGAGCTTCGGCTGTCGCGATCCCGGTGAGGGAAGCTGGCGGGCGGTGCCGCGGGGTGGTGATGGCGGCGGCCGCGGCCCGGGGAGGCGGTGGCGGCGGCTCCGGCGCGTCACGGGGTTTTTATTTCAACACGGTCCTATCGCTGGCCCGCTCCCTGGCCGTGCAGAGACCGGCATCCCTGGAGAAGGTAGCTCGGCGGCTGGGCGCGGGCTGACAGGAGGAGGGGCCTGGGGCGCGGGAGGCGGGGCGGGGGTCTGCGGGAGGCCGAGGGGGTCCCGGCTGCCGGGGGCGCGGGGTGGTCTTGAGGGAGGAGCCGGCGCGGCTAGGTGCCGAGGGCCGCGGAGCTGGCAGGCGGAGGTCTGGGGCCCTGTGGCGGGCGGGGCCGTGAGCTCGGGCGGGCTGAGCCGCGGGGCCGCCTGGTGACCGCCGGGCGGGGGCGGCGGCGAGGGGCACGGGCAGAGCCGAGGGCCGGGGTCGAGCCTGGGGTCGGCTCCCCACTCGCCTTGTCTTCTGTTTCTTGACTCTGGGGCGTTGCCGTTCTCGGGGAAGGGGCGCTTTTCCGCGCTTTGCCCTCAGTGGTGAAGGGCGGGTGAAGTAGCGTATCTGGAAGCGGTTTCTGAGACGCACATTTGCTGCGCATTGTTTTTCTCTGAGACTAGAGGGGGCGTTAGACCGGCTGAGAGAGGGTGTTTGAAGAAAAGAATTCAGGCCCCGGGGGTTCCTTATCTTGGGAGAAAGGTGAAAGGCAGCCTCAAGAGTGCCTGGGACGGTGGGAAAAACGCAGCTTTTAGAGTCGGAACGTCCCTGCACCGTCACTGTATGTCGTCTTGGACGTTCCTGTAACCCTCAGAGCTTCTGTGTCCTTATCTGTGAAATGAAGTGGTTCTTGAGCATTAAATGAGTTCAGGCAGAAAGTGCCTGGCCCAGAGTTAGGCTCAGAGTAGGTGGACAGTAAAGGGCAGCTTTCCTCCCCTACCAGGGCGTGATGATGAGTGAGCACGAAGGGATGGGATTATTCTTCCCTACAGCTTCCTGGTGGATGGAAAGAACGTTGAGCGCTTGGGAGTGGTTTTATGGCTCTGGTGAGGGAAGTGAAGCTAAAAGGCTGTTGCACACACCTTGGCAGAGTGACCTCGTCCTTCCTTGGCTTTGTAGGTTCTCAGACTTGCACAGTGAGCAGGTCTTGGGAGACTGATGCCAGACTGATGCCTTCTAGTTAAAGGAGGAGTACAATAGAATGGAAAGACTATGGGTTGTAGCCATAAGATCACCTGAATTTAAATCCTGTGTCATTCACTTACATTCGTGTGAGTCTGGGCAGGTCAGTTCACCAGTCTGATCCTCTGCTTTCCCCTGCAAAATACAAGGGCCATACTTGATACAAGTATTGCGAAGATTGACAGAATGACAGAATGAATAAAGGGAGGCAGGTGGGTGCCTAATGAACGATCACTGTTATTGCATGAGGCTGAGTGATGGACCACAGTGCTGCTTTATGGAATCAAATCCATGCCAGCTAGTCAGCACATTCTCTTCTTAGGAGGAGGACCAAAAGTTGTATCAGAAGTTTGCTTGCTGGACTTGGAGAAGAGGGTGCAGGGAATTGGATGATCTTAAAGAGGGTCCTGCGGCTCTAGGAGTGGCAGCACCCTTCCTCACTCAGTAACTGAAAAATGCACCTTCAGCTCAACTCGCCTTCTTCAGTCTTCTTCACTAGTCACAAGAACATTCTGTAACTGCAGCATAGTTTTCTATCTTATGGTAATGTGTGGGTAATCAAGATTACACAATGTTTTACAATGAATTAAAGCAGCTTTTAGGTTGGGCTCCCTAATACCATTCAGTTTCATCGGCTCATTTACAAACCATAGCAGGAAAGAGTTAACAGAGCCCGGGCTGCTGTTTTTTTAAAAATTAAAACTAGGCGGGCTTCTCTGGTGGCGCAGTGGTTGAGAGTCCGCCTGCTGATGCAGGGGACACAGGTCCGTGCCCCGGTCAGGGAAGATCCCACATGCCGCGGAGCAGCTAGGCCCGTGAGCCATGGCCGCTGAGGCTGCGCGTCTGGAGCCTGTGCTCCGGAACGGGAGAGGGCACAACAGTGACAGGCCCGCGTACCACAAAAGAAACAAAACAAAACAAAAAACTAGGTTATTATTGCCAGTGTCTTTCTTTCTTTTTTTAAAATTAATTAATTAATTGATTTATTAATTTATTTTTGGCTGCATAGGGTCTTCGTTGGTGTGTGCAGGCTTTCTCTGGTTGTGGCAAGCGGGGGCTACTCTTTGTTGCAGTGCACGGGCTTCTCATTGCGGTGGCTTCTCTTGTTGTGGAGCATGGGCTCTAGGCGCATGGGCTTCAGTAGTTCTGGCGTGTGGGCTCAGTAGTTGTGGTGCACGGGCTCAGTAGTTGTGGCGCACGGGCTCAGTAGTTGTGGTGCACGGGCTCTAGAGCACAGGCTCAGGAGTTGTGGCGCATGGGCTTAGTTGCTCCACGGCATATGGGATCTTCCTGGACCAGGGATCAAACCCGTGTCCTCTGCATTGACAGGTGGATTCTTAACCACTGCGCCACCAGGGAAGTCCCCGGGGCTGCTGTCTTCAAAAGGGCTTGCTCGCGAGGTTGGCCCTTGGCTGGCATCGGGAACTTTGTGCTTGAACTGTTCCTTCCATTCTCTAACTGATCAGGATGGTTCACTGTGTCTGACTCTGTGTAAGCAGCATGGTTTATGGTGAGCACCTGCTTTCCTTCTGGGAATCTGGAATTTTGATGGTTGCTAGGCAGGCAGTGCCTAAATGACCAGCCCCCAGTAAAAATCTTGACACAGACATCACTCTCGTGTTACTGCATTGCTTGCTGCTGTAAGGGGTGTGTGCTTGGGGTGCACCCTCACAGGAGGGAGAGACAAGAGGAAGCCCTTGCACAGCTTTCTCCAGACTCTCTACCTGTGTCTGTTTCTCTGGCTTGGATCCTTTCACTGTAATGAAATTTATCTGCAAGGAGGACTATGTATGTGTGTGTGGTCCTGAGGACCCAAAACTACTTCTTTCTCAAGAGGAGGTTTCTGTAGGTGGCTGATTGCATCGGAAATATGTGAATTCCTCTTGTCCTCATCTACGATTTTGAGACTTGATTATACTTGGGATCACTGTTACTATTTAGTCCTGTACTGTATGTCTGCTTGCTGCGCTCCCCTACTTTAAAACAGTTGATGAGAAGCCCTTAGCATTCCTAAGGGAAAGATTCTTGAGGTTCTTAAGAGTAAAAGAGTTTCTGAGTACCCACCTGGGAAAAGAAAGCTGGGGACTTAAGCAGGGAGATGAGTGTTGAAACCCCCCACCCATTTCTTTGTTTTCATTTCTTTCTCCTCCTTTTTTCCAGAGAAGACAGAGGACTGAGTGGGGCCTGATGCAGATAGGGTTGACCCAAGGAAGGCTGTTTTCTGAACTAGACCTGACACCTCAGCTCAGACATGGGAGCTCAGGCAGCCTGACATGCTTTCAGTGGCACTGGGACTCATTAATGACACAACTTACCCTATCTTTGTCCCTCGGCATGCCACAGTGGGTTTGACTTACTCCATTCACCCACCCTAACCCCAGGCCGTGAAGCCAAGCCTATCACTACTGAGTGCATTTTACTTGTCCTTAATTCCTTAATTTTTCTCTTTCATCCAGAAAACATTTATTGAGCACCTATTGTTAATTGGTATGCATTAGGCCAGGTAAATAAGAAACTCCTAATTTGATTGCTTAGGTGACCAGCAACAAGTCAGTTTTGCTGCAAGTCCCCCATGTGCTCTTGTGCCCCATGTCTGGTGACCAGATTCCTGCTGTGTTCAGGTAGCCAGACCCAAGGGCCCTGGGCATCTATTCTAGGATCCTTATCTGAGCTTTGACCTCTTCCTGTTAGGCTGCCTCTAAGACTGGAGTCCCAGCCCTGAGGCCCACCCCTGGGATTGCAGCCCACCTCTGAGGACACCCTCCGTGAGGCCCACTCAGGCCTCAGCCCTCTCCCTCTGGGGGAAAGAGAGGAGAAAAATTGAGAAGAGAGTCCTGCCTACACTGAATCCATCTCTGATTTCCATCTGCCTGCCCATCTTTTGCTCTACTCTCCTGGATCTTGCCTGTCTTGAGAATGTTGCTGAGCCGCCCCTGCCGAGCCTCCTCCTGGCTCTGCCTGGTCATACTCCTCTGTACCCTGGAAGTCAGGGGACCTGTTCCTGCCTCTTCTCACCTGGCCTGTGCCGTACTAACGGACCCTGAGCCCAGGATGTGGAGAGTTCTAGGCAGAGCTGCAAAGCAGGCAGCATTCTGTGCCCTCCTGCTCCTCTTCCCACCCTCAGGAGGCTTTGATCAGACTCCTTCCCCATTTCTGAAAATACTCTCTCTTATTCAAGTTAGGGTGCCAGAACCTTGAGGTGTTTAGCTAACTATTGACCTGATGTTTAAAGGGCACTGCGGCGTTAGGGACAGGCTGGACCCTCCCTGGTGGACAGGTGTGCTTCAGGAGACGCGCTGGGTAACTCTTATAAGTAACTGGAGGAATATGTGGCCAGGTGCTTAGGACAGTGAGCTTTCTGGAGTTCATGTTTATCCAGTCTGTCCTTTAGAGTGGTCTGCTGTGGAGTGAAAAATCCTGGTATTGGCATTTTTTCAGCATCACGAAGCTGAAAATTTCCCATCCTGCTCCCATTCCTTTGTGAGGCCATGTTAAAAAACAAAACAAAACAAAACGAAAACACGGAGAGGAGAGAGAATAAGCTTCGGCAGAGGATATTCATGTTGCTAGAACCAGTGTTATTAAATCAACTCTAAAATATTTTAGGAAGAAATTGGAAGAAGAAAAATATCTTACCTGTAATCAAGCCACATTAACTGTATTAGTTTTCTGGGGCTGCTGTAACAAAGGGCCACCGTGGCTTAAACAACAGAAATGAATTTTCGCACAATTCTGAGGCTGGAAGGGCTTGATGAAGGTGTCAGCAGGGCAGGTTTCTCTACAAGCCTCTCTCTTTGGCATCTAGATGGCCGTCTTCTCCCCGTGTCTTCACATGGTCTCCCTCTGTGTCTGTGTCCTAATCTCCTCTTCTTAGAAGGACACCAGTCAGATTGGTAGGACTGGCCCTCCCTCATCACCTGATTTTAACTTAATTACCTCTTTCATGACCCTATGTCCAAATACAGTCAT